AACATCTGGCGATTACGCCGTCATTTTCAGCCAATCACAAAGTTGAAATAATTTGCATATTCGTAAGACCGAGCCATGTGCGTAGATTAGTTGAACTCGCGAAGTTTGACGCCAGAATCTTGATAAGTAAGTCTCATTTGCCCGTGTTTATGCGTTTACCTAGTTCATATATTGTTGATTAACATGTGAATGTTTCGTTTGTAATTATATCGAGAACATCCTGAAACTTCAAGAATGAATGGAGATCGGCAAATCGTCTGGTCGATTGGATCGTGAGGGCAGTCATTCGTCTGTTGACGTGATAAGAACTTAATATCAAATTTTCGCTTGGAAAATGTATTCTGATCATACATCACATAGTACGAATACAGTCCGTCTCATAGATAAAAATACAACGGCTACCTCCTAAACGACTTGAAATAAAGTCCAGTTTTGACACCGGCTCGGTCAAGTTACGACCATGAGGATGACGCCATTGTTTTCATTTGCTCAGTTTTCGGTTTTGCATTTGAAGAGCCATCATGTACTTCTTGTGTAGATTTAATATGCAGTGTGTGTAAATGTATAACAATTTGCCTCGTAATTGTGTGTGTGGGGTGGGGTAGATTGGGTTTTGGGTTTGAGCGTAATTGATACCTTGGGTCCGTCCATCGTCAGCTGGTTAATAGTCTGGAAATACTCTTAAAACTTTCTCATTAACTGTGTAATTTTATTCACAATATGAGGAACAGTGTGATTGCACTTGTATCTGTGGCAACTATCAAGTCAAGACAGTTTCGCTTCCATGGTCAGGTGAAGTTCATTGTTTGATAAATATAACATGCTGCTAATCTGCATATGCTAATTTTTCAACCAATGGATGACAGTTACAGTTTTTTCCTATGCTGTGCAACTGATAGTTGTCATGGTGATTAAAGTGAGACTGCCCTATTCTTCATTGCTGTTTTTTGAGCATGTCTAGGTGTCTAAAGTGGAGCTTCATCTGCTCGCATGGTTCTGTATCCATTCAGTGTAGGAAATTCCTGCCCGTCCGCACGCCC